TTGAATGTTTCTGTTAAATTATTATTTTATATTTGAATGTTTCTGTTCAATTATTATTTTATATTTGAATGTTTCTGTTCAATTATTATTTTATATTTGAATGTTTCTGTTAATTATTATTTTATATTTGAATGTTTCTGTTAAATTATTATTTTATACATGAATGTTTCTGTTAAATTATTATTTTATATTTGAATGTTTCTGTTCAATTATTATTTTATATTTGAATGTTTCTGTTAATTATTATTTTATATTTGAATGTTTCTGTTAAATTATTATTTTATATTTGAATGTTTCTGTTAATTATTATTTTATATTTGAATGTTTCTGTTAAATTATTATTTTATATTTGAATGTTTCTGTTAAATTATTATTTTATATTTGAATGTTTCTGTTCACCCTGAGCTGATTCTGTTGTGACTTGAAGCTTTAGAAATAAATTGAACTGAATTGAACTGAATTGAACTGAATTGAACTGAATTGAACTGAATTGAATTGAACTGAATTGAACTGAATTGAACTGAATTGAACTATCAGCAGAACAGAAGTCTCAAACAGAGTTCTCACTTTGGGGTGTGTTGTAGATGATTTTCCGTTCTGGAGCTTAGAAATCCCAGGTGCTGGTCTGGGAACACCTTGGAGACCTCCCAGAAAATCTGGAGGTGGCGGCTGTGGAAAGAGACATCTGGACCTATGTCTTCTACTACCCTTCTGATCAACTGCTCTGATCAGTTCAATGATTGTAAACAGATCCTCGAGTTTGGATCACTGACCTTTGACCTTCAGCTCAACTTGTTTCTTCATCAGGATGTTCCCCGCACTGCTGTAGACGGTGCAGCTGTAGGTGTCTCTGTCTTTATCCGTCGGGCGTTTCAGAATCAGACTGAGGTCTCCAGTTCCCAGCAGGTCTTTTTCCATCTTTGTTCTGTTTCTGTAGAACCAGTCCTGTTTTTGAAGTTGGTCAGAACCATTCCAGAATGCGTGGACCAACCAGTGATCACTGTCCCTCCACTCCACTTTAGCGTCTTCAGGCATGTGGACTGTGGTCTGGCAGGACAGCAAGACAGACTCCGCCCCTGACTCCACCTCCACCTGTGGGACTGAGAGGACTGAGAGTCACCTCCTTTCTCTGAACCTTCTTATTAATTCTGTTTTTCCACCAGCAAGCCAGCTGCTGGAGCTGGATCTGCAGCCTTCATTGGGAAGTTCCTCAAGAAAGAGGTGTTCCACAACATGCCTCACAGTCTGCGTGTCCCCTGGCATCCAGTGTTGCCATCGAACAGTAAAAAACCAAAGACGGTGGTACAAGGCATTGCCAATGAATGCTGCATACCAGGTCCTTGCAAGAGGAGCTGGACACATGGACCGCAGGTACTGAAGGTGGATAAAACTAATGGCAGTACCACAACGACACAACATTACCGTTAAATGCTTGGCATGGACACAAATGTATCTGAATACAAATCTGACACTCCAGTAACTGTCCTGGGAAGAGCTGGTAAGACCAGAACTCAAAAAGGGTCTGGTATTTCCATTGGAAGACGTGTTCAGTGGTAATTTATTTGTGTGTGGTTACAGTTGATTGACTGGTGAACAATGACTAAATGTAGTATCGTAACAATTCGGCAGCAGACCACAGGTGACTGTGTAGTCGATGACATCATCAGAGGGGGTTTGCACAGAACCCAGACAGGTGGAAGTACCTGCTGGTACATGATAGCCTGAACTACAAACAGCTTGTTGCTTCAGATAAATATTGAAACAAACATTTCCAGGGTTCCAGGTCTCTACGTTTGTCTTTTCATTGGACACATTGTTCTGAAACAATGGCGCTGAAGATACGGCAGCACTTGGGACAATTAATAACTTCAGAATATAATAAGACTGATCAGAACTAATCAGATGACTCGGGGAAAAATACAACATCACATTTAAACCACTGACCTTTGACCTTCAGCTTGACTTTCTTCTTCAGCAGAACGTTTCTCCTCCTGCTGTAGACGGTGCAGGTGAAGGTATCTGTGTCTGCACGTGTGGGGTGTTTCAGGGTCAGACTGAGGTCTCCAGTACTCAGCAGGTCTTCATTCATCATCGTTCTGTCCTGGTAGAACCGTAGCTGTTCTTTAGATTGGCCAGAGCCGTTCCTGTAGACATGAACCTCAGACTTGTTCCTGTCCCTCCACGCCACTTTAGCATCTTCAGGCAGGTGAACTGTGGTTCTGCAGGGCAGCAGGACAGACTCCACCCCTGAATCCACCTCCACAACTGTTTTATAGCCTGAGGACAAAAAGAAGAAAATCAGCTGAACGACAGACGATCACAGGACCATCTCCTCCGAGTCTCTGATGGTCACAGGACCATCTCCTCCGAGTCTCTGATGGTCACAGGACCATCTCCTCC